TGACCCCGCTGGGCCCCGGGGGGGCCTGGTGGAGGCGGGGCCAGCCGAGCGGCTGCTGCGGGACGGCCCCAACGAGCTCCGCCCCCCCCGCGGGACCCCCGAGTGCGTCAAGTTTGGGCGACAGTTGGCCGGGGGTCTCCAGTGCCTGATGTGGGTGGCGGCGGCCATTTGCCTCATCGCCTACGGCGTGCAGGAGGGAGAGGGTGACCGCGGCAGCTCCGACAACGTATGCTGGACACCTGGGGCCATCTTGGGGGAGGGGACAGGACATCTGGGTCCATCTTGGGGGGGGACGGGGACATCTGGGTCCATCTTGGGGGGCAACACCTGGGTTCATTTAGGGGGGATACACGTGGGTCTATGGGTTGAGGAACGCTCGGGTGCATCTGGGGGAACATCTGGGTCCATCTCGGGGGAGGGGACACCTGGGTCCATCTCGAGGAACATCTGGATCTGTCGGGGGCGGGGGGCCAGAATGTCTGGGTCCCTGGGCTGAGGAACGCCTGGGTCCATCTTGGGGAACGCCTGGGTCCACCTGGGCTGGAGAACATCTGGGTTCGTCTTAGAGGGATGCATGGGTCCATGGGTTGAGGAACACCTGGGGAACATCTGGGTCCATCTTGGGGGGCACCTGGAGCCCTCGAGAGGGGGCAACCTGGGGGGCTCCGGGGGAGGAACGAGGTGCCTGGGACCCTCCGGAGGGCAGGACGCCTGGGTGCCCTTGGCTGGGAGTACACGGACACCTGGGTCCCCACCCCGGGGGCCTGATCCTGTCCCCACCCCCTCCCCCCCAGCTGTACCTCGCCATCGCCCTCATCGCCGTCGTCGTCGTCACCGGTTGCTTCGGCTACTACCAGGAGTTCAAGAGCACCAACATCATCGCCAGCTTCAAGAACCTCGTCCCTCAGGTGGGGGAGGGGGGGCGTCCCTTCCTTACCCAGACACCTGGGTGCCCACCCGGCCACCTGGGTGCCCACCCGGCCACCTGGGCTTCTCCTGTCACCTCCAGCAAGCCACGGTGATCCGAGAAGGGGACAAGCTGCAGATCAACGCCAACGAGCTGGTGGTCGGTGACCTGGTGGAGATCAAAGGAGGGGACCGAGTTCCTGCAGACATCCGCATCATCTCAGCTCAGGGTTGCAAGGTGGGCGTGGCCACCTGGGTCCTCTTTTTTTGGGGGGGGGAGGGGTGCGCGGATGCCTGGGTCCCCCCCCTGAGGTGAGTTCTGTCCTCCCACCGCCACCTCCAGGTGGACAACTCATCCTTGACGGGGGAGTCGGAGCCCCAGACGCGGTCACCCGAGTGCACCCATGATTCGCCCTTGGAGACCCGCAACATCGCCTTCTTCTCCACCATGTGCCTAGAAGGTGCGTCCCACCCGGACACCGGGGTCCCACCCGGACACCTGGGTCCCCACCTGGACACCTGGGTCCCCTTCCCGGACACCGGGGTCCCACCCGGACGTCTGGGTCCCCACCCGGACACCTGGGTTCCCTTCCCGGCCACCTGGGTCCCACCTGGACACCTGGGTCCCCTTTCCCGACACCTGGCTCCCATC